CACCAACATTTATAGTACCTAAAATGAACTACTGATAATGCTGTAGCACCTTGCAGACTGGATCTGGCAGTTTTATAGATAAAGGCTAAAATGAAGTAAATGAGACCCAAAAGTTACTAAGTGAAGCATATGCAGTAACTTTGTGAAGATGTGAAAGAACCATGAAAGGACCTCAAAGCTCCTCCTTAGCTAACAGACTGTCTCCATAAAGGCTTTGCTAGAACACACTGTTTAGTTGTCATCCCTGCATTTCATCCAAGATAAGATGGAAATAGAAAACTTTGAGAGATCCTTGTAAATCAAAACAACAAATGGCAACAGTAGCAAAATAGAACCTTATCTGGGATCAGAAAAGAAATAGTAAATAAAACAGAAAATGAAAGAAACTTGCTGGCAGGGCAATAAATTGGTTTATATTTTAACTTGAATAAAACCCTTAATATCAAGGAATAAATGTAGGTTAATAGATATGGATCATGTTTAATAATTAAGCATCAGCAACTTTTCCTATTGATCTCAAGTGGCATGTAAATACCATGGTAATTGGTGTACTACACATCCAGAGCTAACTACTTGGATAGATAAGAGCTTTGGAGAGCTGCCTTAAATTGGGTTTATTACATAGAATCAAAGAATCACAGCCCAACTGAGCTCAAGTTAGTTTTCAGGGTGATTCTTAGACAATAAAAAGAAAGACACTTTATAAACACATCATAGTCCTAGCACAGTTTTACTGTGAATGCATTTTGCCTGTAGCAAGCAACACTGTTCTTTAAGTGAAGCTGCATCTGTACAGAGTTCAAATGAGCACAGAGCTGAAAAGGAGAGAGAGCTCTGACTCCAATCAAATGAATGACTGTTTTGGCTCCATAATATGTTTTCCAGCCCTAACTTTAATCTAAATCAAATGCCCGTCTTTCTTGCTGTTCCTGCAATGCAACCACAGCACATGCTTAAGTATAGGAAAATTGCAAGTGCCTAACTACATCAAATTGTACTTCCATCTAGTCTGGAATTTACATCAGGCAGAGGAGAATACCTTCTGTTTCAGCAGAAAGAAACCATTCTCCATCACTAATTCATTTAGAAACTATTCCATGGATCTTGCCAAACAGCTGCTGGGCATGGAGATCTGGACAACCAAACAGGTCTTTTCTGTTTCTAAACTTGGAATTCTTCCCCCCAAGCAGTACAGGAATGTCAGAGATTCTTTACAATGCTGTGCTAGCAGATCTGGCATCTACCAGGTACAGAAACTCTGCTGGCAAAGTGTTTGGATAGCAACATCCCTCGGGGTATTATCTGTGCCGTAAGACTCTCACTATATATTAGCTGTCCATGGCATACAGACCCCACCACACCCCAGCACAAGCCATGAAAATTGTCCTTGTTTAGCTGTCAGCTGAATGGACAGTCCTAAAAGGGGGAATTTAATTTTGAAGTGGTGTCTCTTCACAACCTCCTGCAACAGCAAATTTGCAGGTCAGTGACGAGCTGCTTAAAGAGGCTTTTCACTTCAGTGGTTCCAGCAGTGCCATTCCCACCACTTTAATGTCACAGCCCCTGATCTGCTGCTGCTTTTCCCTTCGGTGTCCTCACCCCATGAGACAAGCTTCCGTGGAGCTCATGAGATTTGCATAAGCTGCGTGTGTGCAGAACTTTGATGTGCATTGTCTCCACTGCCTCTGCATACAGGGAAAGGTGGCAACAAGTCAATCAAAAGCTGGTTAATTCAAATGAAATCCAGCTTTCGGTGTTTGATGCACCCTGTTCTGTTTTGTTTGTCATTATCTCTCCAGACCAGTGAGTCAGCCCTGTAAAACCGTCAGCTTGATCACAGTGTTGACACATGATACCAGCCGTTCAGCTTCCATGGGCTCTATTTATGCCTCCTGTCCTCTCTTTTCAAACAGCCCAGCAAGATAAATGAACCTCAGACTACGAAATCCCATAAAAACTTTCACAACATAATGCAAACTCTGCCTTTTAAACCAATGATACAGCAAAATGAACTGGCTTCAGCAAGGAACTTCAGGAATGACCCAATGCCTCGTTGTTTCCTTGCAGCTCTTCCTGCCTTAAGTGGTCACCCAGCACAGCTGTATCTGAGCATCTGTCACACAGAAAGCATTGTTAACAGCAGAGTCCCTCATGTATCTCAAGATCTGCAATGGGTAGTTTTTAACATTTAAGCAGAGGAGTAGGACATGCCTGATGCTGTGAAGAGCATCCTGAAGCTCTAGGCATTACTCTGAACTACTTCCATTACGTGATAAGTATATAGAAAAATAGAGTAAATGCCAAGCCACTGCCATGGGATCTGATCCAAAGTCCATTCACTTAAATGGGAGCCTTTCGAATGACCCCAGTTTGCTTTGGAGGATGGAAATGGTCATTAAAAAGATAATTTCTATGGTTGTTTTAACTAACAAGAGGACATGGAAACTAGCCAAGTTCTCAACACTCGTGAGCTGTTATATAGATTAGACCTTCTTACTCGTGATTAAGTTATACCTTACCACTCAAACAGTCCCCATGGCATTGAAAAGAACAAGATACTGCTTAAATGAGGACAGGTACAGAATCATAGAATCATGGAGCAGTTTGGGTTGGAAAGGACCTTAAGATCATCCAGTTCCAACCCCCTGCCATGGGCAGGGACACCTCACGCTAGGCCATGTCGCCCAAGGCTCTGTCCAACCTGGCCTTGGACACTGCCAGGGATGGAGCATTCACAACTTCCTTGGGCAACCTGTGCCAGCGCCTCAGCACCCTCACTGTGAAGAACTTCTTCCTTATATGCAACCTGAGCTTCCCCTGTTTCAGCTTGAACCCATCACCCCTTGTCCTATCACTACAGTCCCTGACCTGTAAGAAGATGCAACTATGCAAATACAGAGGGGAAAGGAAGCAAAAACTGGAGGAAAACCAGTAACTTGTTTTGCAACCAGACCAGATTATTTAAAGGAGTGAACAAATTCCTGCTCAGAACTGACAGTGTTTAAGGAATGCAAAATGCCTCAGCTCAACTTAGCAAAAGTAGAACCATTCTGACCCCCCAATTCAGTTTTTGTCTCCTGGTTTAGGTGATCCAGTTCTCATCCGCGACTTGACAGGATGTAGAAAATAATTACAAATGAAAAGGTTATTCATAATTTTTAAATGAGTTAATTAGTAAACCCCGCCAGAGTCACTCATTACTGTAATTAATAATTGATTATACTTGAAATTAAACACAATTTTTCATCAAAATCTAATTAAAGAGCTGCCTTTTTGCTTGTTGATTAGAACTCTGGGTCTGGTAGAGACAATCTTGGCTAAATATGTTTATGCTGAAGTGAAGCATCGAGTTTGATTTTTAATAATTGATAGTTCCTTTAGAAATTAGTAATTATGACCCATAATTACAGCAGTTCAACCTGATCAGCATTCCTGGCTCCTCGCCAGCCATCCATGGAGCCCAGCAAAGGCCATGCAATTCATCTGGATTAAAAAACAGGATGGGAAAGCACTCAATGGACCTACCTTTTAACCACGTTAACTGGGATTTTAAACAGCTTGAGCTTGAGCTTTACAGGACTCTGGAAAAGGGGTTTAAGTTGGGGAATACCGAGCAGCATTCCAAACTCTTCTCCATCTATCAAACAGCACACACCTCCTCTGTCAGAATGAGCAGACACCGCTACTTTGAGTTATAACAACACTCCTCTGACACCCTGAGATAATGTCCAAAGGAACCATGTTCAGGCCATAAGGAGCAGAGCAGACAAATGAGAAAGGCGAGTCCAAATGTACATAGCAAATGATGAAAGTTGAAGTGCATATTTCATCAAACTGCTGCTGATTTCAGCTTGGTTAATTAATCATGCCTGCTCCTCTTCCAGGAGCACATAAAAGTGACCGGAGTATGATGCAAGGCAGGAGTGGAAAAGTATCAGTCATTAAAGAAGTGTACATAAAAGGAACAGAGGAATAGCAATCCTTTGTGGTAGTGCTAATTATACTCATGTGAAATGAAAGCAAAAAGTCTTTCAATCCAGGCTCAGATTCGTAATTCTAACCACAACCTTTTATAGATCATTAGCGCACAGGAAGTCAGAGTGAAATCAAAAAGGCTCATTTGTGCCATGAGAAATGGGCTTGTTTTAACCCACGATCACATCTGTAAGTGTCTGACAACCAGAGTTTGTGTCACTGACAGTTTAAACACAAGTCTGGGAATGGACCGTTGAGAGACATTTGTAACACAAATATCAAATCTAACTGAGGAGCAATTAATGGTAACACCCCAACTTTACAGGCTGAAAACCACAATTTTCACTTCTAACAGTTCAATTACTTTTCCAACAAACACTGAGAATGATTTTTTGCAATGAACACTGACAACCCTTATAAACCAAAGGAATTCAGGTCATGCAGAGCTCAAGAAAAATCCCCTGTTCTCCACCCCAACTCCCCCTACACAAAAAAGGCCCTGTTGGACCACAGGCTTAACTCAGTCCTTCTCCACCCTCCCAGTCACCTTTGTGAACACCAATGTGGTTGGTCAAATGACTAGGATGTGGCACCAAAAGATAGAATAAACCTGCATTTCTGTGCATCAGGATCTTGGTTCTAACCCTGTTCCATGAAAGTCAACAGTGGAGGACTCCCATGGACCTGGATGTGACTGGGACACAGACTTCACTTCCTGCTTTAATGGGTTCTTCTGGTGGGTTTGTTTCACTCCAGGTACACTTTCCTCTATGTAATGGAATGAAAACAGCCCATGCCATTGAAGGGAGCACTCATGTTTTACTAAGCTCCTCTGGCTCTATGTTCTTCATGACATATGCTAGGCTCCCTACCATAGCACTGCAACCACAAGTCAACAGAAACCTTATTTCCCCATCCCTTTATACCACAACCTTGACCCTCTGCTTCCCAAACATTAGCATTATAGGTGGTTTTGTAAAGAAATGGAAGAAAAGCAAAGAAATAACCAACAGAAATAAGCTTACCTATGAAATAGGCCAGCAGGATCACCAGCGTGACTGAGATGACAATGGCACTCAGGGCAGCACATTTCCAGTTACAGTACTTATAGGGTTTCTTCAGGTTAAAGGCAGGCCTAGAGAAGGTACTTCTGGGAAGGGGCCTAGGGGGAGGTGAGTACACAGTGCTGGACGTCAAGGGATATCCCGGCGACGTGGTACAAAAAAGGGGAGAAGTGCCTCCAGGTTTGAACAGGAAGTGCCTGAGGGAAGAAAGACCAACAGCAAGTGATTCCTCACAGCAGTCGAAGCTGAGGGAGATGTGGGGTGGGAGGATGGCGACGGCTGCCGGGACGAGGAAAGCAGCTCCACACAATGCTGGCTACGGACATGGATGGCATGCACAAAAAGAGAAAGAATCAAAATCAAACTCGAGTCACACAGAGTAAAGGAAAACAAGAGAGAACGAAAAAACCACAGTGCCAACAATGCCACAGAGAACTCTTCAAGGGCAGGAGTCCCCTCTGTGGAAGAGCTGGCGTTAGAGTGAGATGAATACCCCAAGCACAGCTACGACAGACTGGTGGCACGGGCAGCACCGGGGGCCTGCTCACGCTCCCATAGAAATTCCCTATGGAGACTGAAGGGAAGTGTAGGTCGGATTAAAGAGGGGAGGGTGTTTACCAATTCATTGATCACTGCATGAGAGCGTTTTTGGGGGATGGCATCGGTGAATGGAGATGGGGAAAGAGAGCTTAAGCCATTCCATAGCACCCAAATTGTCACAGAGGGGAATATTCACACTGTCCCCGCCCGGCAAATTTAAGCGTGGGACAATGGCATGGCTAAAGGCATCAAAGCCCAGAATACAAGTCCTGTGTGTGGCTAGTGGGGAGAGGCTCCTGCTTGCAGAATGCAGTCCAGAGCACCTCAGTTTGATGCCTGCCTTTAAAAAGTGTGAATTACTGTCAAAGGCAACAGCGTTTCCTGTCCAGTGACACGTTGGGAGGCACCGTATTTTGCCCATCACTACAAACGCAGCCTGAGAGCCAGCCTATGAGGACCTTGGGTGAAGGCTCATGGAAGCCAGCACAAAAAGAACCCACTGCAGTCCATGAGCTCCTGAAATGAGATGTCCCAATGGGAGTTCTTTCCACGGGAATCCTAAATGAAAAACTTCCTTTTGGTGGGACATCACGAAGCACAAGGCATTCAAATTCCAGGAATGAGACTTGGGGAAACAGATCTGACTCGCCTGTCACCATGCTGATGTGAAGCCAAAATGCAGCTTGTGAGGACTGAGGAACAGCCCCAGTGCAGTTTGCACCTTCTGCTGTGGTTTACAGGGCCAGATTTGCAGGCAGCACAGATGCAATCAGCATGGATCCATGGGAGTCAGTCAAGCCAGTGCATTATACCAGATGAAGACATGACTCTTATTTTCCCCTCGAAGCCACTTGTCACAGGGGGGAATGTCACATGCAGCAATATCACCATGCAGAAAAGCCACTGATTCATGCAAAATAAAGAAACACATAATTCTCCCAAATAGGTGTTTGTAATATTACAGCCATGGGTCTATTGGTACTCCAAGCATGACTGCTGAGCAGTAAGGAAAGATTCATTATTGCCACTAATGCTCTACATCAAAACATTCCTTTTTACAAAGACTCAGATACTATGCTGTGTTCTGGAAAGTATTTAGGCACAGATGTATCTGTTCAGAGCACAAAGGTACCTGCAGTGTTCAAGAACATCAATTAGATCTTCAGTTAATGATAGCTACCAAATTAGAAAGTACCAGCACAACGAGGTCAACAGTTCTGGCACTAAGTGTCAAGTTAAAAGCTGCTTTTAACTTAGAAGTGACCAAATGTTAGGTAAAGATGCCAGAATGGGTGGTTCAGTCAAAAACAAAGGCTTGGCTTACACACACCACTTACAGACACTTGTAAGATAAGGTATGTGGCAAATATCAGTTTAACAATAAAGTATCAGGCTGCTGGCACAATAATAATTTAAGATTCTTAAGAGAATTAACTTAATCTTAGTTTATAGGGGACTCAAAATTGCTGTAGGTACTTCTTGCTAACGAAATGACTTTCAAAACAAGGGAAAAAAGCAAGCAGCATGCTGTGGCTCACTAGCATCTTAACGACTGCCATTAATATGTACAGGACACAGTGCTCCAAGCTCCAGAACCTCAGTTTTAAAGCCACCTTGGAAGAGGCGAGCAATGGTGTCGCCCTTAAACATCACTGATATGACCAAATGCTTTCATGCAAGGATCATAATGACTGTACAGTAAACAGGAAGACCACAGAAGTGTCACATACCCATCATTGTAAGCACCGTCATGTCGGGAGGAGGTGAGAATGTCCATCTCAATGAGGTTGTCCTGCAATGTCTCTAGGAATGTCTGCTTTGCTATGTTTCTACATACATATGGAAACATGAATGAAGCCAGTGAGTCATGCATATATGAAGTGTGATCTTATAAACCACAATGGTTATAGTGCAGTTGTGCATGGAATTAGAATGATGGACCATATATTTATATGTATAAGATGCTACACATATACATATATTGCTTCTAAGAGTGTTCACTTCTCCCTCTATACACTATATATACGCATATACACACATATAAGCACACATGCCCATGTGCATGTATAAAGTAAGTTGATGTATTTGTTCATTTCACATTATTTATTGCCAGTGACACACAAGACTGGATTCAGAGCAGCAGATTTCAACCCAGAACAGCTCTCACCTTGCTACACTCCCACAGCCATGCTACTGGCACTTTGAAAAGGCAGAGCACAGCATCCATAGCCCACTGTGGTAGTACTTCTATCTAACATCCTTATGGATTCCCAGTGCAAATCTGCCACTCCTTTGCTTAAGTTTCAGGTTTGTCTTTGAGAACTTTAGAGTTACCAATTTGATTCATTTCTTATCCACTCTGGAACTATAATTTGCTGTTTAGAAGTTTCAAAATGCCCAAGATGAGTATTCCAAGTAATAGTCTCTCAGAGATAAGCAGATAAAAGCTGGAAAATAGCTATGCTGTAACCCAAATTCCAATATCAGAGTACTGGCTGTAATACGACTAATACAGGCAACAGATATTTAGGGCCTGCAGGTGCAAAAGCCTGGTTTTGGCTTTGCATACAACAGTGGCACTTTGCAGTCCTGGCCTCCCTGGCAGGTACTTTGATGAGTCATATTGTGGTCTGTATATACTAAATGGATTTGTACTTTTGGAGGGGAATAGAAGGAACACAGAGAATTAAGTCAGCAGCACAGCTGGGAACAGGCTGTGTTTTTGCTACCTTCAGGCTTGTTTCTCAAGGCCTGGCAGAAGAACAGACCTGGTTTTGCCCATGTCTGTTTTCAGCATCAAAAGTGAATCTAAGCCTGAATGTGAATAAATTCCCTGGCCAGAACTAGCACCAGGAACATAACAGCATTGTGACACTTTATCACTTAGGTAGGATTAAGCGCTTACAGGAGAAAAGTGACATGATGTGAACTCCAATGAGAACTCCTCTGTCAAAGAAACTGGATTCAGGTAACATGCTATATACCAAGAGAAACTAGCCCTGTCACATTATACAAGCCTTGATATCGTCTCTTCTAAATCATCCTCAACCTTAATTTTCATTTCTATTTCCTCTTCCTCCTGCTGCTAATGCCAGCACTTGTTTAGCTCAACTCACTGCTTTTGGAGGCCTCTGGGCTGTTTTGACAGAATAGATCTACTCCTTGATCTGAAGGAAAGTAAAATGACTCCTATTCCTAGCTTTGGAGTTAAGTGGATCGACATGCATGAGTTGTGTGCCATAGCTCTTGAGACATAAGTCCATCCCCAACTGTTTGCTGCTTCCTCACATTCCCTGGGAATGCAGGAAAGGTTGGATGTGGAATTCAATGCAGAAAGAAGCAACATGTGTGCATGCACTGAGCATTGAATGGGTAAGAGGCAAGGAATCTAGCAACACACCAATCAATACAAGTTCATCAGCCGTTAAAATCCATGTCAAACCAGTTCCATGAATTTCAGTTGTCGATAAAACAGGGTTAGATAATCATATCATGTATGATTTTGTAACAGAGAGGTTGCTGGTCACCAGGGTGATGAATGCAGGACTGTCCTCGCTGAAGGCTGGGCAGAGTCTGCTCCTTTGGACATTACCTGTGAATAGCTGTCTAGTTACACAACACTCCCCCTTCTCATTATGAGTTGTGGTGGCAGAAGCTGACCTGACATGATTACCACATGAAATTCCCTGGGAATGGAAAGCTGTTGGTTTGTCAACTAGACGTCCATCTAGTTGGCATTTATTTGCTCCTGCAAGGTCAAGTGTAAAGGAACAGAAAGGAGGCCACAGAAGAAGGAAGAGTGAGGAATATATATGGGGAGAGCTGACTTACCTGTCAGGAGTGACTCCTGTGCAAAGATCTTCTCATCAGAACCTTGGTAATATATTGCTTTTAAAGCAACGAGAAAGGGAGCAGAGAGGAAAAGAAAGAGGAAAAAGGAGAAACAGAGAACAGGGAGTAAAGGGAGACTAATGAAAAGGAGGGAGAGAAGAGGAGAGGCTCTTCCTCTTGCAACATAAAAAGTTCCCAGATGCAGGATATGCTGATGGTGGTGGTTGTATACTTGTGCTCCACATCTCTGCTTGCTTTTTCATGACAGTGTGGATATTTCCAGGCAGTGGCTAACCATCCTAAATTCCCAGTTCTGAATACTGCCTGGAGTCCAGGGCAGTCAAAAGGAGGCCTCTTCAACCTCTGGGGTGATAAATCTCTAACTGTAGGCACATTGCACAGCCTGTGACAATCCCTGCTTAAAAGATGTAGCTTTTTCTCCATGTTTTCTCTGTCTGTTGACTAATATGGGATTTAAAAAGAAACAGATATTCAATGGAAATAATACAGTTCCATTTTTGACATGAGATTACTCTAGTCTCCTATTGCTATACTTCAAAGGCCTTAATTCTTGGATTAATGTCTCTTGGCCAAGATTTATTTTGTTACATAAGGGACATTTTACTCTCTTAGGTGAAGGTTCTAACAATGTTTGCAGCGGGGAAGGTCGTCTTCATGGAGGAGGTGGAACTGGGTATCCCAGTTTGCTAAACAGCTCTGAAGCCTGGTCTTTGGTGTCTATAGAATTCCCACTGAAGGAAATGGAAGACCGCTGTGTGCTGGAAGAGCAGGCTATGGGAGTGGAGATCTGTCACAGATTTACTGCATCTCTGCAGCCCAGCCTCTTTGCATTGTGACACCCTTAGAACACATTTTATGTTCTTAATGTTGTTTCATGAAGGAACAAAAGCCTGTCAGTCACGCTCTATAAATGTGCTCATTTGCTGTTTGGCATGAAATCAGACATTCTTTTCCAACATGTCTAAAGGAAAAGTGGGCAAAATGACACTATTCCAACCAGCGTGTCAAAAGCCAGATCACTCTTGAAAATACCATTAATAAAATGGTTTAATTGAGAATCAGTTACAAATGTGACTGATTTGTGATGCAAGTGAAATCATCTGGTGATGCAGATATCTTCATGCAGGTAGACATCCAGCTTTCAGGCTGGCTAACAGCAATAATATGGCCAACCCAACTTGCAGAAAGAACACGCTGCTTCAGATCTTAGTAAGTTTTCATCCACAATGATTTCATGGGGAGTCTTTAAGGATGTACTCACTTCAATTAAACAGGAGCAGTCCAGGACTACCCAGGTTCTGTCTATAAACTCCTGCATTTATTAAGATGTATTAGAGTTGTCTCTCCATCTCCCTCTCAAATTGCCAATGGCACCACAAATGCGGGCAGGATGTTTTGCAGCAAAAAGCTTTTATTTATCTCTGCCATTCCTCCACTGATCCAGCAGCAAGGACATTCCTCCTCAGCTGTGAGGTTCTGACAGACTCCAGTCAGGATGCCTTGGCACTATTAAAACAGTGTTATTATCTCTTCTCCAAAGAATTCACAACCTGGTTTAGAAGGCGGCACAGGGTTGGTTTCCTCCAGAATTATAAAGAATTAGTCACAAAAGGGCTGCAAAAGTATTTCTTAATGTCATTAAGGGGGGCCTAAGTAATTCTTAATGTCATTTTTTTCTTGTTTCTCAAAAGAAATAACACATAAAAGTCAATGCTTGAGTATATATACTTAAGAATTAGTAACACAATATAATTACTGAAACTGTTGCCAAATCACACTTGCAGAACTTGCTTATTATTTTGCCTTAATCTTTTGGATCCAGTTCTTAGTTGGGTCTTTTCAATCAAGCAGTCGTGGAGAAATGGATTATCCTTCAATGCCATGAAAAGTGATGTTGAGGTCTGCTTGGGAAGTTTCAGAGGGCCAGCAGACACAGCTCATCCTCAGACGTGCTCATTCTTACAAACCACTTTCTTAGCAGGAGCTGGCAAAACTGGGTATGTTTTGCCCCAGTGAGATTCCCACAGGCAGGAATGTGACAAATTCATGGCTCACTTTTCAGTTAGTGTATGTTTTTTGCTGTCTAAAATCTTGCTTGTTGGTTTGAGAAGTTAAGACAAATGAGGGGAAAAAAGGCAGATAAATAAGTGCATCATGTTAGGCTTTGAAGACTTCTCTCCAGACTGAAAAGGACACCACATATGGGGGCTAATGACTCCAGCATCTCCAGTGGTTTCTCAGTAGCAAAGGAAATGGTGAAGTAAAAACCCTGGAGGATGCCAAAACCGAGTTTCAAGTGGGACAGCAAGAAGTGGAGCACTCACCATCAGATGGGAGGACTGAGGCTGAGGGAGGATGACAACTCCCTGTTCCAGAACCTACACAGGACCTAACCAAAGTGATGAACTAGAAGAACTCTGTGCATCCTTGTTGTACCTTCATATGTTGCATAGGTGGAAAAGAATTGAAGAGCTAAATGGAAACACCTCTAGTTGACTGATGCCCTGCTACCTGGTGTTTCATGCTTGTTGGAGCAATGTTGTAGGGTAGTAAAATGTTGAAGCTGACCTCTCCTTATTAGGTAAAACAAGATCAAGCTCCTGAATGATGTACTACAGAAGTATCTGCTTGATGAGGCACAGCTAGAGGGCTAAATCTTTTCAATGTATTGACTGATTTCAGGTTCTTAAATAGGATATTGATTTATCCTACCACATAGGAAGAAAAGACATTAAAGGAAAATAAAAGAAAGAAAACCAAGAACATTTAAATCTATGCTCCCCATTTTAAATTAGGAAAACAACCTCATGAGCAGCTGTTAAAAACAACTCTTTTAGTTTAGGAAAGAAGAGCAATTTCCCCTTCTCCTAGTCCAAATAAAAAGACACAAGGAATAATTAACACAGCTCAAAACACATAAGCCAAACACCAGGTCATAAAGTGCACAGTCACCTCTACAGATGTGAGCATTTTCCATAACATCCTTAGCACACACAGGCGGAACATTGTGAAGCACCAAAGAAAATGACTTACCTGGTCTCCAGTGGGATGTTGCTGTTGAGTAACCAGTTGTCCTGAGCATGGGCTGGCTCTTGAGCACTGGCTGGTTGTTCTCCAGAAAGAGAGTGGTCCGTAGGAGCTGGGCTGGGGTTGCTGCGTGGAGTGAAGTTCCCTCTGTTTAGGGAATTGATGGAGGCCGCGTGGTGTTGATTTGGGGTGTGAGCATGAGATATTGGAGGTGGTGGAGTTCTAAGTCTCGAATGATTTTGAAGATTTGGAGGATGATCTAAAACGTAAGTAAAATATCTTTAAGGTTCCTGATTTGAGCTGTTCCATACGGCGCTCATGTACGTGCAGGCACTTTAGGAAGGCTGGGATGTCACATATCCTAAATCAGACTCAAACCTTGTTCAATATGTTCTAATGACATATGTATTGATCCCTCAGCCAGCTAGAAAAAGAGTTGGGTTTCATGCCCAAAAGTTCTGAAAGCTTAAAGCCCTCCAAAAAGGCCGTCCTGACAGCCAAGTTAACTCCAATGAACAACTGCAGGTTGCAAACTGCAATCTATCTATGACACTGATTTGTGATAAAGCCTGAAAAATACAAGCAGCCTGGATAGATTACACTTGAGAGCAAGTTTATGATGGATATAGAGCTCCCAGTGAAGTTTGTCCTGCCAGTTTTACCCGAGAACTTTCAATAGTTAAGTCAATAAGACTTGAGAACACATTAAATCATAGGCGGGAGTTTGGGGAAAGCCATAAAACTCTGTGTCAGGGTTATAGAATTTAACAAAATCCAGTAGTTTGTACTGTTAAGAGATGTACTCCAACGGAGTAAAAAATGCATGTGGCATAAAAACTTGAGGTGTCAGGAAAATGAAACAACATATGGTGAAGAAAGATAGAAAGATTAGTGATAGGGCTATTTTGAGTAAAACTCCCAAGTATTTGTTAGCCAAGAGTCTGAGGGAAGGCAAACACTTTGGAAAGACCAACCTCGTGCTGGTTATATTTGTATTTGTATTTTTATTCTTTTTTAACTAAAATCAAGGATTTCTTTCACATGTTTTCTGGAAATGAAGGAAAACTGAATTATTTGCTGGAACTGGAGGCAGATTGACAGTTCAGAGCACTGCATATGTGATACAGAACTCCTCTCCGATTTTAGTAGGTTCCTGCTTTTAAGTCATTAATACACAACATTTTCTGATGCCTTATCTGAAAAACAGTGTATCCTTATCAATCTAAAACCAGATTTGTGTATCATGAAAAACTAACACTAAACTAGTGTCAGGACAAGGGGTGATAGGTGCAAACTGAAACAGGGGAAGTTCAGGTTGGAGATAAGGAAGAAGCTCTTCCCTGTGAGGGTGCTGAGGCACTGGGACAGGGTGCCCAGAGAAGTGGTAAATGCTCCATCCCTGGCAGTGTTCAAGGCCAGGTTGGACAGAGCCTTGGGTGACATGGTCTAGTGTGAGGTGTCCCTGCCCATGGCAGGGGGTTGGAACTGGATATCTCACACACATCTTTATATTTTAACTTAAATAAGTGTCTAAATATCTGAGAGGATACAGAGATAGTGGGAATGCTTTCTCTGTTCCTCCTCTGAATCCTAGCCCTAATCCAAATTTCAAAAGACTCATTAAAATATCCTGGTAGTTTGGATACCATTCATTGTGATTTAGGACTAGGTACAGTTAATTCATATCTGAGCTCTGTAATTAGAGAGTAAATCTTAAAATCATTGAATCACAGAATGGTTTGTGTTGGAAGGGACCCTAAAGCTCATCCAGTTCCAACCCCTGCCACAGGCAGGGACACCTTCCACTGGAGCAGGTTGCTCCAAGCCCCTGTTTCCAACCTGGCCTTGAAAACTGCAGCCACAGCTTCTCTGGGCACCCTGTGCCAGCGCCTCAGCACCCTCACAGGGAAGAGCTTCTGCCTCAGAGCTCATCTCAATCTCCCCTCTGGCAGGGTAAAGCCATTCCCCTTGGCCTGTCCCTCCAGGCGCTTGTCCCAAGCCCCTCTCCAGGTCTCCTGGAGCCCCTTTAGGCACTGGAGCTGCTCTAAGGTGTCCCCTTCAGGAGCCTTCTCTTCTCCAGCTGCCCCAGCCCAGCTCTCTCAGCCTGGCTCCAGAGCAGAGCTGCTCCAGCCCTCGCAGCAGCTCCGGGGCCTCCTCTGGCCTCTCTCCAACAGCTCCACGTCCTTCTTAGGTTGGGGACTCCAGAGTTGAATGGGAAAGTGGGGCAAATGGGTAAATCCTGGAATATGCATTAGGCACTCTATGAAGTTCTCCTCCTGTGGGTTGACTTTCCCTAATGGAGACACCATTTTCAGATGGATTCAGAGCCTGTTTCTAAAGATCTGCTATGTAAATCTCAATTTACACCCTATTATTGCAGACACATTGCAGATGCTATTATGGATAATGCTTTTGAATCAAGTAAAAATGTGTCATTTTCATTCTCTATTTGCATACCCTCTGTGATTTCTTTGCTAAGTAAAGACAGCACATCTATCTTACCCTGGTCTATGTGATTTTTCATGGGATTTTATAGCTTGTATTTCCTTTGTCTGACATTTAGGAAGCTTTTCCTCCCTGAATATTTTCAATTCCATTCATATACAAATTGTGAACACTTACATTATGTCTGAGCATTTCTGAATTTCATATACCTTGACTGGGATTAGCAATTATTTCCCTTCCATACAATCCTTTTTTCTTTTCTTCTTCTAAAGTTAAGGAATTTGATTTCAGGCCAGGTTGGACACAGGGGCTTGGAGCAACCTGCTCTAGTGGAAGGTGTCCCTGCCCGTGGCAGGGGTTGGAACTCGATGAGCGTTAAGGTCCCTTCCAACCCAAACCAGTCTGGGATTCTGTGATTCTCTTTGTAAGTTATCTTGGCTTACTCAAAAAGAGATGATTTTCAACATTTCCCTTCTCACATTTTTCCCCTGTGGTTTCCAAAAAGACATGGAGTTTATAATTCCCTCTCTACTTGTTGCTGGGATGAAAACCCAGACATACTATTCAGAAGCTGACAAAATATTGAGGAATAGCCAAACACCTTGTAAAACACCTCCCCCTCCAAGTCCCCAGAGTCAAGCAACACAGTTTAAGGGATGATTTTTGCCTTGAAGGGACAGCAAAAGAGATCTGCAGGGACACCTCACACTAGACCATGTCACCCAGGGCTCTGTCCAACATGGCCTTCAACACTGCCAGGGACGGAGCATTTACGGCTTTTTTAGGCAACCCTTTCCAGCCCCTCAGCACCCTCACAGGGAAGAACTTCTTCCTTAGATCCAACCTGAACTTCCCCTGTTTAAATTTGAACCCATCACCCCTTGTCCTACCACTAGAGTCCCTGATGAAGGGCCCTCGCCAGCATCCTTATAGGCCCCCTTCAGACACTGGAAGCTGCTCTGAGGTCTCCACACAGCTTCTCTTCTCCAGGCTCAACAGCCCCAACTTTCTCAGCCTGTCTCCATACGGGAGGTGCTCCAGTCCTCTTATCATCCTCGTGGCCCTCCTCGGGACTTGCTCCAACAGCTCCATATCCTTTTTATGTTGAGGACACCAGAACTGGACACAATACCCCAAGTGAGGTCTCACGAGAGCAGAGTAGAGGGGCCGGATCACCTCCTTTGGCCTGCTGGTTGGTTTCTGGGCTCAAGATCACACTGAAGCCAGCTCATGTCAAGCTTCTCATCAACCACCCCCCCCAAGTCCTTCTTGGCAGGGTGCTGTGAATCTCTTCTCCGTCCAACCTGTAGCTGTGCCTGGGGTTGTGCCGACTCAAGTGTAGGACTTTGCACTTGGCTGAGGATGAAGTTCCCCTTGTAGAAGACAGGCTGGCACTGTGGAAGTCTAAACAGCTCAGAACTTAATGAACACCCCTGTAAGCCTCATTTTCTGTAATGGGTCTCCAACGTGTGTCAAAGATGAAATATGTCTGTATTCAAACAATGAAATATTGGAAATCTGACTGAGAAAATCATCAACAGAAATCAAGTTGCCTTTGTTTTGTTTGGGTTTTAACATTAAAATGTCATTGACTAACACTGGTTTGGTAACCACAGATAAAGCAGAGCTGAAAGATAACTGAGTTAATGAAGCTTGCACTTGCCACATAGTGGAGTGCCTTGACAGAACCCTGTGAATGAAGAATTGAGCAACTGTGAACCATAAAAAGATTACCAACGAGGAGCTCAAATGACAACAATGGAATAAAAGGTCTGAACCCCACGTTCCTTTTTCTTCCTTCAATCTTTAATGAGTAGCACTGCTTTGAAATTAGTCTAGATAACAATTACACTTTCTGATACATTAGGTTTGGGGATTGCGTTCAGGGCAAACCTCAGAGTGAAAAATAGGTTCTCATCCTTTTTTCCCCCTTCTCCTGTTCCTTCACACGTTTGTCATTTGTACGTCTGCTCATATCCAGACAGCCTGATGCCTGACTGGGTTTGGTACAGGAAAGATTTCTCTTTACTCACTGTACTAGTGCCAAGTGGAATGAATCACTCATTGCTCCCATGAACTTAAACTCCACAGTAGTTGTGATGACTGACTTGGTGGTGTGACTTTGGGCAATTGTGCTTGTACCCACACACAGAGAAATCCCATCCGTTGGGAGGAAAAGACCTTATTTGCAATAATGAACTCTGCATTCAACTGCCAGAGCAGCTCAGAGCCTTGCTTCAGCTCCAGGGCCATGCTTCAGTGTGGTGCAGATGTACACTCACAGCCCTCCAGGCACCTGAGTTACCTTCAGCTTAGGAGGGACCTTATCGCTCTCTACAACTGCCTGACAGGAGGATGGAGCCAGGAGGGGGCTGGTCTCTGCTCCCAAGGAACAAGGGATGGCACAAGAGGAAGCGGCCTCAAGCTGCCCCAGGGCAGGTTTAGCTGGAGCTGAGGAACAATTCCTTCCCCAGAGGGTGCTCAGGCATTGGAACAGGCTGCCCAGGGCAGGGCTGGAGTCACCATCCCTGCAAGTGTTCACAGCCCGTGGAGCCGAGGCCTCAGTGCCAGGGGTTAGTGGTGGCCTTGGCAGTGCTGGGCAATGGTTGGACTTGATGATCTTAAAGCTCTTTTCCAACCTGGTTGATTCTGTGATAATAAGCTTCATCGACTCCCTGTCCCTTTGGGGTGCCTTCACTCACTGATCTGATGAGCCACCAAAGGTCAAGTGGACTAGGAACTACTGAACTAGGTCTTCCCTCCTTGTAGGGGACAGAGAGTTTGCTGTTCAAAGTGAGGCAGCTTGCCCAAAGC